ACTTCTAACAAAAAGGTAATTCAACTTTTTCCAAGAGAAAATCCACGCATTCGTAGCCCAAAATAAAATTCCAATTTTTTACGTTTAATTTCCAGATATAGATCATCTTATACAAACAAGTCGCAAGTTTTACCGCTTTGTATGTTTTATTAATTTTTTTTATTAAAAAATTGAAACCTATTAAAATGAAACACAAGCTAATTAGCGTAGTTTTCGTTACCGCCATTATAGTGTTAATGTTATCGGGAGTGTATCTGTACCGTCTTCCGGAAAGATCGAGTGACAATAGTTATAGGAGTAGTTGGACATCTGAGGGCTATCGCCACAGCATGCAGGACTCTCCAATTAGAAATGTTTACGCACACGAAGATTATCAAGTTTATACCAACAAAACTTACAACATTAACGCAACCGGACCTAATAATTGGGAAGAAAGACGAAATAAAATTAAGGAGGTTGGTAATTATTTAATTTCTTAGATCACCATATATTTTTTATTGTTTATTATTTTGTTATTTACCTTTAAATTCACTCAGATCCAGGTAATTTCTGTGTATATTTACTTTGCGAGATATTTTTTAACAGAATTAAAAAATATAACCTACAAAACCCTCAAGGGATGTTGTTATAACTTGACTAGACATCTTCATTCTTATATCTGCAAAATATGTCCCCTCTAAAACTGTTAACAAATATTTCGTTTTTAAATGTTAATAATTATTGTTATTTTAATTTAATCGCTCATTGTAAAATTGTAAATATTTAGTTTATATATAAACAAAGAAATTTAAAAATGTTCGTTAAATTTCAGCATGACCCAGTCATTTTATCTGTATATGATCCAGTTACCACAATAATCCAAAGTTCAAGAAAAAAAGATTTTTTGATCGATAAAACAAATATATATTTTATTCCATATAATAAAATAATCTTCGCAGTATGTTTACAAGTAAATATAGATAGTAGCAGTTTTTAACTTATACAGGATGCACAAGCAAATACCCTAATTAATTAAATTATTACTTTAATGCTTCGAGAGTATATAAATGATATACAATTATTTCTGTTTCATCTCCTGTTTTCAATACAATTTAAACATGTGCAACGATCTGAAATTAAATTACGTTCTTAAACGCTAAGAAATACCTAAAAAGTTGGAATACCTAAAAAGTTGAAATAACATATTAACATATTTGTTTGAGAAGTCCTTCAACAAAACTGAAAATTATCATAATATTCATGGTAATTAGGTGGAACTACTTTCTTTAATTCTTGTATATCCTCTTTTTTTTATTTTAAGACGATTCAAAACAGGTGTTTATTATTTGTAACAAATCATTGTTGATAATTCTTGTCAGTTCAGGAGAAATATTATCAAATTCACTAATTTTTTATTTTTATTTAGGCAAATTCAAACTAAATACTAATACGTCGCGTAGCACTTTCAGTTATGAAATTCATGACTATCTTTGATGCGGGCGTGGTATTCACAGCTATTGGCCAGTAGCTATTACATAATGAACATGTCTCTAGAGTGTAAAATACATAAGAGGTAGTGTTTCAGAATTTTCTTTCAATCTCAAAAGCGAGAATGTTTTCTTTGTTATTATAAGTGATTTCGGAAGAACTACATTCTTGATGAATAATAATGAAGTAAAAGAATAAAAATTATGTAACATTATTACACAACTTTCCTAGCTTGTTGTTATAAATACGTTGATTTCAAACTAGAAACTTTGATATTTGTCGTCCTATTTTCGTTCGGGAAACGACTCACTTAGCTCCCAAAATATTACCCATCCAAAAGAAAACCATTTTGAGAATAGCACCAGTCAAACACGCCTTCAATAGTTTATTTTCTTTACCAAACTTTAATCAACTAAACGTTAATCAACGAAAGTTTTCAGAGTTCTTTGTTCGCCGCTACAGTCAACTAAGTAAATAACGAACTCCGCGAACGAAAAACTTGTACACACAACACCAACTTAATAAAGGAACTTTTCGCTGAAGAACATTTGTTTCGGCCGCTTTTTCTGTTGATTTAAGTTAAAATACTATGGTTGTACGTTGGACCTGTACATCAGTTTCCTGAAAAGTTTATTATGACAAGTTCCATTATATTGCGATGAAAATACTGTGCATAAGAAAAAAATACCTGTAATTAATAATAATAAATTGTTTTTATTGATAATTTTTCAAAATGTTACCAAAATTTTAGTAAGGAGCGATATTTAGCCATTCTTACATCTAACTCCTCTTAATTTAGAACATAGAAAGTTTTAAGATATATTAAAATGTTGAAATGTTAAAATACAATACACAAATAAGGTTAAAACGGTAGAAAACATAAAAACCATAATAAAAGTAGTAAAATTAAATTTTAAATATAGTGAAACACGTATTAATTGTTGTAATTAAACAGTAGATGACTAAATTTTGAAAATTTATGTAAAATCAGGCGTATGCTCTTGAATTTTGCATAGGTTATATACACATCTAGGACACCGACTCAAAATTAGTCCTACCAGGACAGCCAACAAGCACTTTTGTTCGCGTTGATGCTAAATTTCGTTTTGACAAATATTGTTTACAATTTTCTTACATATTGTATTGTTTTCTTTTTACTTTTTAGAAATAATGTTCTTTTACAATGCCGCAATTTAGTAATAGTGAACTAATCGATATGGTTTTAATGTATTATATTCGCCCAAAACAGATTCTTCAAGGCGAACAATTTCTAAATCGTAGACTTGCTGACTGGTCCTGCTCTTGGTCGTGAGAGTCTAATCCTGAATGTCGTACGTTTGAAGCAACTGTTCTGTAGAAGACTATCCAATGAAGTTAGAGTATCCCTTTTTGTTGTCTGACGTACACTTAAAAAAACAAGAAGATATTTAAAAGTACAACTCTTATAACCCATGGGGTATAGTTATGAAATATGGAGTACCAGACAAATTAGTTAGGATGATGAAATTATTCTACGAAAAAACAACAGCCAGAATTTTACGCGACAGCAGCCTAACAGAATCAATTAACAAGACAAGGCTGCATTTTACCTACGCTTTTTATCATCATTAATATTATGATATAGACTGGATCATAAAAATTAATTCAAAAACGAAAACGGGAATAGTCTAGATCACCTTTAGTTAACTAAAAGACTAAGTGTGCCGATGATGTATGTCTCCTGTCAGAAAAATTGAATTATATGCAGTAGAAAACAGAAAAAAGTGGGCATAAGGCCAATAAAACAGTGTTAGGTAATAAAAAGAGTACTACCTATTTTCTGTGCCTAAGCACTTGAGGTGGGATTTATATTAATCCAAGTGTTGGATGCCGATTAGCTACAGTGAAGAAGGGGTGAGTTGTAGCAAAAGTTATGTATGTTAGTGGGCGCCAGGAGTTTACTCACATCCAAAATAACCAAACAAACCTCTAAAACGAAATAAATAGCCTAGCTAAACTCAAATAGAGGTCCTATCTACTCCAAACTGAACATATACCCACAATTACCGTCGTGGCGGAAACGCTAGACAGACATCTTGAATACAGGGTAGCCACCTACGCGCCCAGCGTGTCGCAGAAAGACTCCTGCATCTCTGGAAAGAGACTCGCGAAGAAACGCCTTCGACAGTCAGTTGATAGAAATCAGCCGTCGCCTGTCGATCCACCAAATTAGGCACAGTGGTTTAAATGTGTGTATACAAGGACCCGTTTAAAAGTACTGCGTGCGAAAACTGCTGGACAAAGCAATCGCATCCCTATTTTAATGAATAACCGGTATAAGGTCAAATCTAAACGTTACAAGAGAAATGAAAATAATACAAAATAAAGAGATACAATCTGAATAAATTTAGGAAGCATAGATGCATAGTCAATAGTGCGACAGGGGGCACTGAGGAAAATGGGTAAATTTATAGATTAAAAAGTATATGGAGCTCAAAAGAAATACATATGCGAACCAAGCTTAAAATATTGAATAGCAATATTTAAAACATTGCTCAAAAAACTTGGACAAATAATAAAAACATACAAAAAACGAAGACATTCATCAACAAGTGTCTTTGCGAAATAATAGGAATATAATCTCCAAATCACATATCAAACACTGAACGAAAAAGATCGGAGTAAGTTAAAATAAAAGAAAAAAATGGAAGTGGATAAGTCATACGCTTCGGAGACTAGACGAAGACATCACCAAAGAACAGCTTGTTCAAACAATCGTTAGAATTCCAACCGCCCGGAAAAGGGAGACCAAAGGAAGACCAATACAATCGTAGAAAATAAGTAATAAGAAAAGCAGAAAGTGTCTACCTAACGAATGGAAGAAGACCGAGAATAAGAAAATTAAATAGAACAGTAGATGCCCTATGTTCCACTACATGAAACGAAGAGGATAAGCAAGTAAACTGCAACCCTTTAATTCGAGAGATGAAGACAAAGAATCGACTCTTCTCATAGTTAATTCTTCAATAAATATAATTGAAACAGTGGCACTATATTGCGTAGATTGTAACGGATTTTGCCATTTCATTTTTTTAGTTACTTGCTGTTTGTCGAGCTTTCATTGTAGCTTCATCAACAACTTCTTAGAACGGTGGTAGTTACACAATTAAAATGTTTTAGCTCAATAAACTTTGACAGAGCTTGAGAACGTGATAGATCCAAATGACATGAATTTCAAATTACAGACCGTCTCATAAAATTATTGACTCATTAGCTATTAAAATATTTAACAAGTATTTTTGCAACCAGTGACTCAATGTGCCCATTGTTCTTGCGTTTCGAAATGCAGTAATCTGCTTATGCTACTATATTAAACGTGTTTGTCTCGTTTCATTAAAGAACTACTTCGCCTTGCACATCGGTTCTTGTAAAATGAAAAACAAAAAATCATATTTGAATATATTTCCAACGCATCATACATACCAGATTTAAAGCACTGTGCTGTGATTTATATGTTTATTTATTTATTTTTATCATTATTATTTTTGTTACAGATGACAAAACATGCCTGGGATAACTACGTGAGGTACGCCTGGGGCAAAAACGAACTGAAACCCGTAAGCAAAAGAGGTCACACCGGCAGTATATTTGGTTCGATGCCTTTGGGCGCAACTATCCTGGATGGTTTGGATACTCTGTACATTATGGGCTTGAAGGAGGAGTTCAAACAAGCTCGGGATTGGTTAGCGAACGAATTTGAGATTGAACAAACGGTAAGTGTACTTATATAATAGTAAATAGTACACACACACGCGCGCACACACAGGCTGTTTCTACATTCATGAGAATATTTCTCGTTGAGAAATATGGGGGTCTGTTCTTTAATGTTGTAACTATAATGTTTTTATAGAATTTTATCTAATATTAAATAATACACACACAGGATATTTCTAAATTCACACGAAACATTCATGAGGGTATTCCTTGTTGAGAAATACGAGGGGTCTGTTCTATAATGTTGTAGCTATAATGTTTCTAAAAGGGAAGTCAAGAAATGAATTTTACAGATAGATAGAAACATTTTTAATATTAAATTGTGTACCTGTATACTGATATTTATGTTTTTTTTTTTGTTTTAACTTTAGTTAAATATTACCCAGATATGTCAAAATACCCTTATTATACTTTTTTTCTGTTCATACTTGTATGCAAAAATTTCCAAGGTTTGTAAAAATTATGTAATTATGTCTAATACTTCAATTTTAGTCGCAGAAGAGATTACAATTATTCTGATTGCAAAGCTACAATACAAGTGGTCCTAAACCACTTCTGTGGATTACCATTGTTTATTGATAGATGATTTTATTATAATTGAAAATTTAATTTTTTTCAATATACAATATTATAACAAAATTTTCTCAGCCCAACCACCTTTAAGAGAAATCACCCCCGAAAAGATTTAAGTCAAATTTATTTTTTCGGGTGAATTTAGAACTACCCTGTATGTCTTTCGAGGAACGAATGCTTTAATAATTTTAGTGGCATTTAGTGAATGTAAATAGATAGTATAATATTGGACATAATAGAGAATTTATTTAGCAACCAAACTCGATTAATTTTCGGGGGTAATACTATAAGAGCTCCGATTTATCAGAGAATGTGAAAGATGCAAATAAATATTAAGCTCAAATGGTATTTAGTGAAGCAACTCCGAATAATCTCCGAATAAAACATTGTTTAAATAGGTAGAATTGAATTTAAAATTGTAATGGAACAATATCTATCTGTATCCTCGTCACATCTTCAACAAACTTCTTTATCTCACATTCGTGCCGTGTCATATAAGTTAAAATGTCGCTCCTTACAAATTGATGATTGGGTTTTCTTTGAATTTTCATAAATACTAGTGATGCCGCGAGACGAGACGAGAAAGAGCCTTTCTCTCGTTATAAAAATATATACAACTGTACAAGTAATATGACTAATTAGTACCCTAATAATCAATAGCATACACAATTGAAATTTGAAGTAATTAATGGCCCAAATTAGGCATTAACTAAAAAAACAAATAATTTGTCTTGGAAGTGAGTTGGGGAGTGGGGGTTAAATTGGAAGTTAGAATTTTTCTGATGTCATCGTGCGATATCAAATGAAAGTATGTTTTCAAAAATATATAATACATTCTTTCACATATTGTCGAAAAAAACGCTTAAAAATACTCTCTTTCCAATTTATCTCCAAAAGTATGTAACGAGAGAGCTCGTTGGTGCCAATTTGCTACGTGATACTTAACTTAATTACCCTCGGCCTAGCTCAGTAGGGTCGGTGAATTCGGGCTTAGATTTAACTAACAAACCAATGGCATCATCTTTAATTAAAAAAACAAGAAAGTGTTCTATTAATGGTTAAGGACGCAATGTATTTAGATTGTCAATAAATACAAATTATGCCATTAATTTGCTAGTTGAAAGTAAGGAATAAATAAACGGAGTTAAACTAAAATATAGTGACTTTAATGTACATGGTGAACAATTTGCCAAATTAAAAATTTCGTTTTTTTATATTTGAATTTTTTTAAAAAAGTTTATTCTTGTAAAGAAATAGCTACTTAAAAATCATCCTGTATATATGTAGAATTATTCTAAATGGTTATTATAAATAATAATTATTATTCTCTTTTCTTAGTCATATACACAGAATACACGTGGGCGCCGCACTGAAAAGGAATAAGATTGAATAACTTGAAGGAGAAATAATAAAAAAAAAACGAAAAAATAGGTGAATAAACTGCAACATAATATAAAATTCAGCAGATTCGACCAAAAGCCATTACCATAAGGAAACTGCGGGTCCTTTTTGCTACACATTTCGTAAACAGCAGTATTTACATTTAATATTGGATAATTTTAAAATGCAGATATTTAAACAGCTGTCACAACGACTGTTTTCAACAAATAAATTTAGTGTATTTGTTGGAATACAACTAGGACAAAACTAACAACATTCAATTAATTACATTTAAACAACGACTATATCCAACAAATAAATATTGGGTGATCCACAGTAAATGTTTCTAAAAAAATTCACGCATATTGGAGCGTACTATGCACTTCTTTTTAAGTGTCAGTATATTTTCTACTTTCTAGAATGTATACCAAATCCACCATTCACAATTCATATTTAGTTAGTACCCTCTACTTTTTTAAATTTGTGACAATTCTGTCTTGTAAAGAATCGATAAATAATGACAATATACCTTTTTTTTTTTCGTCTCGGTATACATTTAATCATTTAAAAATTTGGCACAATAAGATACATTTACAACAAAGTAAACAAAATTCGAGAGACGTTAAAATGGTAGTTCCCAACTTATCGAGACAAGGGTAAACTCGTAGCGTAACAAAAACGAGAAATTATTTAACTTGGAACGAAATACCGAAAGCCGATAGTAGTATTAGCACGTTGAATTTTTTGGTTTGTGAAGCATTGGCATTACTTAGGTTAAACCATGTGATGATTTTCACAAGCCTTGATTTTTAAAACCATTCTATATCGCCTTTTGATTAGGGTTTAAAAACTTGTTCGAGCAATTTATCCAATAATAATTGACCCCTTTACCTCTTAAGCCTGCTCATGTAAAATATTTGGGCTCCTTACTTCGCCTATTTATATTCTATTAATAAAGGACAGAAGGATAAGTATTGCAACTATGTTAAAAGAAATAAATTGGCTTTTAGTTCAGAATTATGTTCAGTACATGACTGATATTTATTTATAAAATAAAAATGACATAGTACCATCGCATCAGATCTATTAGAAAAAATTCAATATAATTCGCAATATCACAACTATAATACAAGAAGCTAATCTGACTTTCATGTACGGTAAGCCATCACTAAAAGTTCCCAAAATACAATTTTTATTAAAGGTTTAAAAAATTTAATAGACTGCCTACAGAAATTAAAAAAAAAAACAATAAATGTATTCAAAAGTAACCTCAAACCATACTTGATAAATAAACAGAACGGATATACTTACTTGTGATAATACTCTTTAAACCTGCCCTTTTTAAGTATTTCCCTTAATTTATTATTATTATTTTACCCCTCGTTTTATCTGCATTTATTATAGATTATTTGTTTTGAGATCATGTACTTTATTTTAAAAAATTACTTGATGTTATAATAATACTACTTATGTTTAAATTATTAATAGTTTTGCGACGATAAATTATAGCAACATAGGCCCGATTGTACAATGCGAGTTGAACCTCGGTTCAGCATGAACCTGGTTCTGGGCGTTGTACAATACTAGTTCAGAGCATAAACTGCGTTCATTTATAGGTTCAACAAAGCGGTCATGTTTCCGCGCTTAAACCGAGTTCAGACCTATTTTTGAATTTAGTTAGTTGGTAACACACTACAAAAAAATATTTTTTGGGTTGGTACCGTACACAAACCGGTAGGTAAATAGAAAACAAGACAAATACGAAGTACTGAATTCCTAATTAATATAAGTTGTTTCATAAAAATGGATGAACTCTCTGAAGATGAGGATTTTTTAGAATTAGTAAATATCTTAAAACAACCAGAAAGGCAACCACAAATATATAGACCAAGGGACAATCATTTTGTTAAGTGGAACAATACTGAATTTGTACAAAAATTTGTGTATTCAATTCACTTTCAATTTTTATCCAGCACTCATTCTTCTTGTGCGTTACATTCACATCCGTTTTTTTATTTTCTAAAATGTCTATATTTTTTCGTTAGTTTTACTAGTAAACCTTCTTCGGCATACGTGAAGTTTGGCGTTCTTTTTGATTGCACATTCATATTATCAGTCACGAGGGAAAACTACGTATAACCTCTAAAAATAATTTTAGAGCAGAAATGCCAAAAATGGCATTTTATATAGCTCCTTTATTTTCTAATAAGAGAAACAAAGATACCCTACGTATTTAGTAAAATTGAAATCTGGCAACCCTGAACAATGAAGTTTATCTAAACCGACGTTGAGCGGGGTATGTACAATTCATACCAATTTTTAAGGCAAGTTCAACCATTTACCGAGTTCACTTGAACCTAGGTTTTAGCTGGCTTTGTACAATCAGGCCCTATAGTCGCAAAACTATTTTTGTGTTAAAGTAGATCCATATAGAGCAATGTAATTTACAAAGGCCTTCTTTCAACATACAAATAAATGACAACTTTATAATTAAAATGAAAAACACAACAAAATACCTCTTTGAAATCATCCTACCTCTCTTTTATATAATAAAAAAGTGCTTTGTATAAGAACATTATATTATCTGTCTTGCTGTACCTTTATTTATGGAAAGCCTGAATTGAGAAACACTACAAATTATTTGCAATAAATATCAAAAGAAATATACATTTTTAAATAATTTGACATTTAAGAGCCATTCACATGTCACAGTTGACATCTTGATACTTGACAGGCACAGCCAAGCATTATTCTGATTTTTGCCAAATAAAATGGCCGGTTAATTATTCTATGGGGTTGCGACAGAGAACCAGTAAATTTGATGGTGTTTTTGTGGCTAGGGGCGAAATAGTAGTACGCTTAATAGCACCACCATAGAAAAGTAATTTTTAAGAAACTGCTTGTATATTTTTCATAAATTGGCAGACTTGGTGACTAATTTCGAATGAAAATAGCCTCCAAAATGGCCATGGTTGCAAGTATGAAGGTTGCAACCCGCCTTAGAAATTTCACCTTTAATATCAACAGCTGTTATTTGACAGGTCGT